GGTCTGACTCTGTGTGTAGTTCATTCAGCAGTCGGACTCAATCAATCATGGCCTCATGACCATCATCAGTAGAAGGACGAATTTATTGAGTGGCGTCATCAAGCCGTGTTTTTCCTGTTGTTTCTGTTTTTCTCCACGCACAAAACACCCACCCACCCATCCTAGAAAGGACAACGAAGAACAAACTATGGATACATGTGCATTTCCAGCGTGCGAACAGTATCCGGTAGTGACCGTAGCATCGTGATGCCTCAAGAATCCGGTGGGGATGAGGCGGAGACGAGACAGACAGCAGTCCAGAACATTACCCCCGTATGACAGATATGACAAACCTGAACAGAACAATAATAAAAAACGAGCTGAAGTTGCTTCGGTTTGTACCGCCTTTCTGCGTGTACGTTGGGAACGCTACTGCTGTATTCTCTTTTACCCACACGTACACGCTCGCTCCACAGCCGCTCTGATAGCTGCCGTGCCAACGCTCAGCTGATGTTGTTGGCATGTATGTGTTGACACAGGGTTCAACATCAGATCAGAAACAGCTTGTCACTGCGTACGTTTTTGGTTGAAGCGAACGTCTTCTGCCGGGCTGTTCGACACGACAGGCCCGACTCTACCCGACAGCTGACGCGACAGATGGGCAGAATCAGTGCGTGGAGCAACAGGAAAATTCTGGAGACTGTGGGGAAGCTTTTGCAAATCTCTATATTGTCTTACTGCTTGCCGAATGTACTTTTAAAATCAGCCGGAAACTTACCGCAGTACATCAACATGCAGAAAAACCCGCACAATTCATCCCTCCAGTCCTCCAGTGAGCTGATTGTGGCAGGCCCCCCTACTCCTTACCAAAACATTGCTTAATGCCCCAGGAAAATGCACACGGGTACAAAAGTATGGCTCCTACATTTTTCACCCCGTGACTTTTGATGCTGCTGCATATGGCGGTGTCGGCTCAGTAGGGCCGCATCGCATATGCGCCAGGTGCTACTGCTGTAGGTCTCGTTTTCGCTTTGGCTGGAGCATACCTTCCACCTTATTCAGCCATGAAAAACTTGGAACGATGAGCCACACAGGTAAGGGAAGCGATAGGAAGAGGGCATCAGATCGTTTTGGGGGACGTTAAGTTACTGCTTTGCTGCGACAAACGGAGAATTCGGGCAGCAGTGCCCCGACTTTCCGAGCACGTGAGAGAAAATGCCGGCTGCTGCACCTGAACCCATAATAGTGGCTGGACAAGCAGCATGCAGGTACAAAGACGTCGAAGTTGGGTTGGGTTTCTGATTGCGCATTTTTCGGTTTGTCCTCTAGAGTGTGGCATACACGAGCAGTACAACCTTGATTCATTTATTCGTTTTCTCAGGATGCAGCAAATTGATTCCTCTGGGCCCACCACAGGAGAGCAGCATTTTCACTTGGATTTAGACTAGCGGATTTCTTCACTCTGCGCACCGCAGGCCAAAATCACTTCATTTAAAATGTATTCTACGGTCCACTGTGACCGTTCAACCGCTGCACTCACTGCTTTCGGGTGCACCTCGCACACGCTTTTTTTGTTCCCATCAAACAAACCACAATGCAGTCATATCCCCGTGCGCAAGTGAGAACCACAGTCAGTTGCTCGCTGAGATCCTGCGGTAATCAACCAGCTGCATCATTCGCGAGGGCAAAATTTACAGAAGATACCCCTTCTTTCGACCTCATATGAGTACATAGCCAGCATCCACGATCTGTGTAGTGCCCCATTCTCTTTCCCTATACTATATACTTTTTCTCTGTTACTGCTGCTGTTGTATGAAGTCACTCGGTGACATCCTTCGAGTCAACCATTCGTACATAGATGAGTCATCCGCGCGCGCGAGATGGAGGCTCCATGGATTGATATGTATTTATACGCAAACCCGCTCGTGCGGGGGATTTAGTACCGCACCAGTCACGACGACTTATGACCATCCAGCTGCCAATCACCCGCTAGGGCTGGTACCCCCCCTGTCTCACTCACATTCCAAGGCACAATTTTCTTGCCCCCGTTCTTTTGGCTGACGTTTTACAGTACAGTGTCTACAATAGCACAGTCCGCAGTATGCGCGCAAAACATATCGTAGCTAGGAAAGTAACTGGTCATGGCCGCAACGAAGTCCGAAGTCAACCGCGCGCGCGAGATGCGCAGTCACGGCAGCACATTATCAAGCGTATACAAGGCTCCCACTTTATCCCATCCCTGCAGTATTTTGGGCAACAACGCTGCGCCATCATCGTTCGTCAGATGGAGTGTACCGCCTCCACTTCACACATCCCATTTCATTCAGTTTCTTCTCACGATCAAACTCAAGCACAACAAAGATTTCTTTGTTCTCATTCGCAGCCAACCATGCATACAATGAAGTCCGCAGTCACCCTTATGACTTTTGACTCGCCATGATTGTTTTCGAGGACGGAATGACTGGCAGGGAGGATAATTGCGCGAAACAGCATACAGTAGATTTTCCCGCGGGCTGACAGGTTGGCTACGCGAGAGGCGTGCCATTGATTTCACAAGTAGCGAGGGAAAATACCCATATCTTCAAGCGTGTGCGACCCTAGTACGTTGATGGCTCGTGTTTAGTGTGAGTGAGTTCAAGGTCAGTGTTGTTGTTTTCAGCTGATAGGTTCCTGCTCTTGAATTTACATACCGTATTGGTATTCGGACGCGTGGAACGCCGGTTTGTCATTTCTGCGTGTTGGCTTTCTCCACGCGGCGGATAGGCAATATATCTTCTTGATTGATGTCGGCTGTAAGTCTTTCCCAGTCTTCGACGTAGACGTTTTTGCCTTGCTTGGCAACCTCCTTCGATGAAGTTAGCGCCCGCACTTGAGGCCATGGCCGTTTTCATGCTTATCATTTTTATTACAACATGAGAACCCCGTACCTAGGGTTTGAAATATATCGGAGAATGTGATCGCATGTACAACACCAGTGATCCAGGCGACACAATAATTGACCTTTCTCGTCATGTGCCTGTCACTGTAATGCGGATAACTCGACGTAACATTTCCCGGCAAACGGTACTCTGTCATTCTTCGAATTCCCTCGATGTGGTTGGGACGTTGGGATCAAAACCCGACACTTTTGGAAGTTGACTGAAGGACGTGATTGCTTCGGTCGTACGATTGGAATCGTGGCTGGCACCACCACCGCGGTACAATTTCCTACCCATACCCACTGCAAAGAGGGTTCACCGTGGCAACTGAGGGAATTCGTCAACTCTTTCGATGCGGACCTCACGGGAGAATTTGTGGCGGGAAGCTGCGAAAAGCGGCTTAGCCATGGGCGTTCTGTTGCCATGACATGGTTTCGTCCAGCGTAACAGGTCACGTACGCGCCTTACCTGTGAACGCAGAAATATGATAATTTGAAGACTCCTGCTGAAATCACAGTGTGTATCACCCGATCTGTATGGGACGTCGATGTTTACCGTAACGTCATACAGGAAGAAGGCCACACACAGCGTTTCGTTCTTTTTCAAACATATTTCTGCGGTCCCTGCCTTGATTTTTGTGAATACTCGATCCCTTCTCTCTTAGACCACGTGATGCTCAAACCATTCTTTGTCCACATCTTTTTGGGCATGTGCATACTGTTGAGCAAAGATCCCAGTTCATGTGATCGCGTCCAGATTCGAAGTCACGTTCTCAAACGTCGGCGGATAGCAAGGATAACAACTGAACCCTGGGGCGACCAGCATATTTCAATGGCGGTGACTAAAGACCTTGAAGAACGGACCTATTGGTGCCAAAATTTGTGGGGGGGCTAAGAAAACAATTCTCCCACGAGTGGCATGAAAGCAACATTGAACACTGTGCCACTTAAAACACCACGAAAGAACGGGTGACCCTACGGGCACCGCTGCCACTTTAACCAGTGCCACCACAATCAACGAAACACAATAGACAGCAAGGCTCTTCGGCTCGAACGTTATCCCAGGTTTGCGGGGGAGGCAAGTGAAGACAGGGCTTTGTCATGCAATTGTTCGTTGTGAAGGGTTTCGGCGTCTCTCCCCGCCACGCTTAGCGAAGCGATTTCAAGATACACGTTTTGCTCTAGGAAGGCATCTGGTGCGAACAAGTTATGAAATACTCAATGATAGCTTAAAAATGATGCGTATTTGGGCACAGGGAGAGAATATCTTCCACGACAAGGCGTGTAGAGACGACGGGCTGTGTGACGCGAGGAACTTGCTTCCAGCCAAGAGGTTGGCGTGTGCGCGAACGCCATAACAATATGTATGACGGTGTCCCTTGGGCCAGAGTGGATAAGTAAATCAAGTCGGAAAGATGTTGAGTTCGTTCTGGCGTCGCGGTATACATTCCCCGACACAAGTGAGAACAAATGTATCCCATAGAAAAACCTAACGTTCCTACCGTTAGCACCCGCACATACTTAGGAACCTCTAGGCCGATGCTGGGGTTCTTACATAGTCCCTAGGGCGTGTTTACGTCCGTCCGGCTGGTTTGATCACCAGTGGAGGCGGGTGTAGCGGGTGGCGGCAGAGTTCGTTCTCCCCTCTTCTTTGGCTTCTTCGGCTTCTTCTCCAGCACACGCATCACAGACGAATGAGGCCGTCTCTTCTTCGACACTGTCAGGACCAAAGGCTCCAAACACTTTCACGATGTATTGCGATACAAGTTTTCTGTTTCGCTCTCTTCTTGAACCTGCACTTTATGATGGCAGAATGTACACCCAATACATACACCACATCAGCATCGTCGACTACATAGCGGTGAAAAGCGTACTCCCATCGAAATCGCCCAGAACGAAAACCCGGTGTTGTGCTGCGCTTTTTCCTTATAATGCCGGATGCTTGGGTTGAGCTACCCCATGCTTTCTTTTTATTGGCTTGAATGACCAGCGGCGAATCCTTCGCTATCCCAATCGCTGAACGAAAGGCAGATTATGCCTCTTGCTCTTGATAGTTCCCTACACTCTTGCTAAATAACGCTCTTGGTACCACTGGGGATGGCAGGCATGATGAAGACGTTCACGCTGGAAGGTGCTGCCAAAAGAAGTTCACGCCGGGGTTGGTGATACCCCGAGGTGCTGAACTTGGGAGGATGTCGGCGACGTGCTACTGTACACATCAGGGCCGGCCAGATGTCCGCGCGTGTAAATACATTACATGCTTGAGGTATCCTGCTAGTTTCATTGCACGTAGATGTCTATCTGTGTGGGGAGAACCAGGGCCGACAAAGGTGGTGGCCAGATGGTGTCACAGGGCAACATATCATGGGGGCGCACGCCAGGTACCATTGAGTTTCATGGTGCCCCACTGTCATTTTTTTCTTTTGTGGTGCCTGCAATCCGGCCGCGTGGTTAGTGGACTCTTATAATGGATCGATTCTGTAGGCTACCATATTTACACTGCTTTTCAAATCATATCTTGCACCTGGTCAAACATTGGGAATTGGCGAACTTTTTTGTAAGGGATCCTCTTTTTGCGTTTGCGAAGGGTGGCATTGCACAAGGATATACCATGCAATTTTATGGCTCACCAAAGCTCCTCCTTCGCAAGAAATCCGTTTGGTACGGTATACACGTACCGTTTGGGACGGTATACACGTACGCTACTTTCAAAGGGCTAATTGTTACCTAGTTGTCGGGTATGGGATATCTTACAAAAGTTACCCAGTGACGGGTAGGGTATGATGTTGTGGGAAAACACGCGTAGCAATCCCTTAGGAATATCTGAGAGTGCAGATCGAAACGTGGGAAGGAGCTGCTGGTACGCATCAGCTGCCAGCAAAGACGCAGGGAAAGGCGATCGACGGAGCCGACCGCTCAGCGTTTTCTGTCGATACGGTTGTTCACGTTGTCCCGACGGTATGACAGTTCCGTTTTGTCCTTTTTTGTGTTGTGACCTTATATGACATGTGTGGCGTTGGCAGTTTTTCTGGGACTACAACAAGTATTCCTTTTGTTTCTATGTGTTCGTAGGCCACTTTTTCCCTTACTCTACCCTTTCCTTGTAGTTGGGTCAACGATGGTCTTGCGACTCATCGTGTGAGGTGTGGGAAGGTGAATATTGGTATTTTGGAGCTCCACATGCCCGACCCTTCCATATTGGGATTCAACAATAAATTGTCAAGTTCCGAGGTTTCTATCTGGGTATGAGCACCTCCAGGATAGGCTGTGTTGTTGTGGGATTTGAATTTCCTCGAAGAGACAGATACGGTCCCTAGCACTCAGAACGGTAAAAAACAACGTGAATGAACAATGGTTTTTCAGTCCGAAGGCCTGAACCACGCACTTTTTTGAGCCGAACGCACGGGACGCGAGAAATCACCCCATCATCCGTCCTACGCTACTTAAGAAACCCTCCGCAAGTTTCGGCTTGATTGGTGCCTTCTGCGTTGACGGTGGGCTGTGTCGGTGATTGGCACTGTCAAGCATGCAGCAGGTGTTGCCGACACCACATTGCTCCGATCTCGATCGATTTGTGCCTAAACGTTGCCTGTCCTCCACCAACTTGAAGCCCCGTACAATCTTCAGCTGGATTGACAGGTCCTTCGACGCTGGAATAACTGTGTACCCACCAATTTTGCCTGCCAATGAGAGGTTCAGGCCACACCGCTGCAACCTCCCGACGAGTTAGTATGTTCCCCGCAAAACGACGGCAACAAATTGTGTTACACGCGCGCGCAATATGGTGCGGAACAAATACATCACCAGCCATTGTAGTTTTTATCCTTATCCCAACATTTGTGTCCCGCGATAGACTACTCGACGCGTTTCGAAGGAAAAAGTATTTGTTCTTCAACACACGCGCGCGTTTAGAGGGATGGGAGCAGCGATTTGTGCAGGCGTGCTTGTGTTTCTCTCTTCCCCAACAGTCTTGCACTCTGGATACGTACGAAGACATGGTACACACGCAATCTATCAGTCCAAGGCATGCGGATTGTCACAGTTGTTCTCCTATTTGAAACCTTTTGTTCCACCGCATGACGCACGCGCATGAATGCCGCCACATTTTGCACGCACACCAACAACTTCATGATTGATTACATTCTCTTTTCTTCGTCGAAACACATCCATCCATGCATCTATTTTACAATAAAGCTGGTCTCGACCAGTTCGCGCATGTGTAAGTTGCCTCCTCCACGCGGACGCTTTTTCGCCGCAAAACGACGGTTTCAATTTTTTTTTCACGCGCGCGCGAAATGTAGTGGATTTCGTTCTCGTCGGAACTACACGTACGTGTTCCCCGCGATAGACTATTCGCGGTGTTTCGAGGGAAACATAATGTGTACACATTTGTGTTGGCTGGTCGTTAGTAGTGGAGGCTGTTCGGGTGTTGTTTTCCCTTCCGTTTCCAGGCGGCTGTTCGACTTGGAGAGTCTTTCATGTTAAATGAAGCAGCTGTAACATTCTTTTATTTCTGTTTAGCACAGCAGTAGCGGGTAGAACAGGGAAGGACACCTTGCTTGGTCACAGGTCTCCGTATGACAGCAGTTTGAAAACGCACACACGTCTGTACTCCTGGTTGCGCACTGTGGAGGAACACAATGAAAACGCCCGCCCGCGAGAAAGGTCTGAACCGCTCTTAGTGAAGCAAGCGGGTAGGCCATTCATCACAGGTGGCCAGTGGGCACGGTTGTACGGGGGCGTTGTGTAACCTCCGGCCAACCAGGGGTTATTACATGGGATAACGTGGGGGGGTTACAGGCCGAGCGAGCATAACGTACCAGGATAAGAAAGCGGTCGTGCGCGGATTGGTGTGAATGAAGGAGGAGAAAAGAAAAAACTTGTGTGAGCCTTCCCCTCCATTGCTACATTGTATTTAACCCATATTTGTGTTATAGTCACGCAATACCTCGTTTGGCATTGTTCTACGTCGGATTGATCGGTGAAACAACATAACATGGGGTGAATCGAACCTGAATAATCCAACGGTTAACCGCTACGCTACATGTTGAAGCCTATGACTCTTGTACCAAATTCTATGGTTTTATAGTAGGGGCGGAAACAATGGTGGCAACACCACCCACGCGGCCGATAGGAGCACACTTATACTATGCGGTCCCCCGCACGCTAAAAAAAAATCAGAAACTCCGAGTAACGTCCTCCATTACGAATCGTTCAATGACAAGTTTTTGTTCAGCTAAGTTTTTATGTTCCACAGCAGCAACAACATATAGTGTACGAAGTATAGAATTTTTCAACAATGCTGAGCGCGCAATTGTTTTCAGCAGAGATCATATTAACATGTAATAATACTACATTCGACCACTACTGTTTTATATTTTTAAGGAGACAGACGTACGTACGTGTTGTCGTATTGACTTTTACGAGAGAGGCAGCGTGTGTAGGTAGTATATCATCGCCTACTCTATCTCTCTTTTTCTCGGTCTTTGCTTTGCCCCCCAATCGCTGCCGTGCGTGTTTCTACGCAACAATATATCTATCAAACAGAGTAGGCCCATGTCTGTCAATGTTGCTTCGGGCACTACATCATGATCATCAGAAGGTGAAGACGGCGCTCGCACTTAAGAACTTGGCAGTTAAGAAATGTGGCCTCGAAAAAAGTCAAAATCAAAGAAATTGCCGACAAATGAATAATTACATCACACGTGCGTGCGTGCTCAGGCCCGACGTGGTGTTAAGAACACGAACGAACCCGCATTTCTTTGTGGTGTAAGACAGAGCCCCCAAAACGCGACAGCTGCAAGATATAATGAGCACTCACGAAGGGGGGAGGGGCTACTCGCGGGGTGAACGGTGGGCAGTTAGTTGCAGATCAGCGGCGAGGAGGAGGTTCCTTTGAAAATAGTGCTGTTGGTGCGGAGATGGGGG